CTACTGCGTGCTGATACTCGTTGTTCCACCAGGGCGCATTTTTGTGCCCCGGTCGGCGATGAGTGTGTGGAGCAAATCGGCGAGCTGAGACTAAAATATTATTCAGAAATGTAGGGAGGTCGGGAGTTCAGCCTGAAGGGTGTGCCTCATATATGCAATTTTGGAAGGATGCCCGTACGCTCTGCAAACATTCCATCGGGAGGAAAATTAGGGTATATTTGCTCTGAGGGGACATCTAAATTTATACGAATTGGGTTATGGTCACTAAAAAGCGGGTCCGGTTGAACGTCATGCCTGAAGAGAGGTACTATGCGCAGTGTTGTCGAGACCAGGTCTATAAAAAAGTATGTCACTATATCTCTGTGGTGATGTGCATATGCAGGGCTCAGTACGCTGACGCATACGAGGTCGTGTGTATCAATGAGTGAGTTAAACTCGCCACCTTGCTTACCAACCCACGCGCGATGATGGGCGTTCATATTATCAATTAGGAGACAAAGCGGGAGAATTTGCGCGAGCAAGGCGGAGAGAACAGCTGAGGAGGCAGGGTTAGTGGGCTAAGGTGCACAGAAAGAGAACCAATATCTGACCATGCGCATTTTACGTTGATTGCAACTTAATTGAAATGAGTGTGAAAATGAGCTTGACGATGCAGAAGGCTATTTGAGGCAGGCTTAGCCGAACCGCCTCGGCGCGGGGTTTCGTTTACATTATTGGTTTTGAGGCAGAAACCGTTGATATCAAAATCATGATTAAAAGAATCTGAGTCGTTAAACATGGTCTCTCGAACGACGGCTATCAATGGTCTGTTTTTTATCACATATTTTTTGTATCCTGCACCATGGGATACCAGAGATCTCGTCTCCCATTGGAGCAAAAGTTCATCGAGCCGTGGATTCATTTAGGGAGGGGGGGAGACCATTACGCGCAGCGGGTGTGGGAGAGAGATCAAGGGGAGCGACGACGGGAGCGCGTAACGCGTCGGGCTCGACGATCGAGCGAGGGACTTGCCCGGGACGCTGGTGCCGGGGTCCCGGTGGCCGCAGCATCAGCCGGGGCTTCCTGGGACGCCGGTGCGGTTGGGGAAGGAGGGGGGGGGCAGCACCGACACGCTGGGATGAGAGAGAGAAATAGAGAGAGAGAGAGAGGAGAGAGAGAGAGAGAGAGAGAGAGAGAGAGAGTAGAGGGAGAGAGAGAGAGGAAAAGATAGAGAAGAGAGATGAGAGAGAAGAGAGAGATATAGAGAGAGATAGGAGAGATAGAGAGAGAGAGAGAGAGAGAGAGAGAGAGAGAGAGAGAGAGAGAGAGAGAGAGGCTCTTTGAGTGTGGTGGGGCAGGTCCCTCCTCAGGGAGGTCCGCAGCCACAGAGCGGGTAGATCACTTGGCAGGAGAGCTGAGGTCGATCGGCAGTCCTCTCGGGACCAGCCCCGGAACCCACTGGTCGTGGGCATGACATGCTAGGGAGGAGCTGTGTGCTGAGGGGAAGCGCTGCGCTGTGGCATGGCGCTGGCTCAGCGTCTCGGGCTCCTCAAGAGGACGCGGGGGAAGGAGGGGCACCGTCGCGGAGCTGGTGCCAGAGAGAGAGGGGGGGGGGGGGCGGGGGCACGCCTCCTGCGGCATGGGCCACTCTTCAGAATAGAACTATCGTTGAGCGGGCACGAGGGCCGCTGCCGCTGCCTGCTGCTGGCGCTCTTTCAGCGCTTCGCGCTGCATGTGACAACCAGGACAGCCGCGGCAGTCCCAAGCTGTGTGCGGGCCTCTGCACGTGGGCAGCAAGGGGTTTTCGCGTCACACTCACACAAGTGTGGTGAGAATTGGCCGCAGGGGCTGCCGGTCGCAGCCCGGCAGGTCCGGTCGGTGTGGTCGAACCGTTCCCACGTGTGGCAAGATCGGAACAAGCCGGTTGAGTGCTTTAGTTCTCATCAACTTGCAAGGAAAGAAAGTTTGGTCTTTGCGACACCTTTTATAAACTTGGATTTAATTGGACTAAAATATCGTAACTTAAATACTTGGACAATAATTGAATATCAAGGCACATCATGGAGCAGCTGCAAGAAACCAACATTCGATGACTTACATGAAACCATTTTTCCTCCCTGGCATGGCACTAATGTGCATATGTACACCAAAGTAAGATGCTGTACTGGTGGCAAAACAACTATGGCATAGAATTAAAATGGATTGCCACCCAAACCTGTTCATAAATAGTTACAGCATTGCATCACCTGCGCCAGCGTTGTAAGAGTTGTTGTCACTTATGTGAAGTTGAGATTTCATTAAACTGATTTTTTCATAGTTATTTTGTACTTTATGGGACCAAATACAACACAAATCAAACACAAATTTGACAGCGTTTCATCCTAAACACGTGGGTTGATAGGCGCCAGTGGCAGTAATATTACCTTAAGGCTTCTTCATAAATAACTATCATCCCTCTCTGCTTTTGACTTAATCCCCTCAGTGCTCTTCCGACCCCTCCTCCATGCACATGAGCAAAAAGGGATAACTGGGCCAATGAAATATGCCAGGTGTCTGAACTGCAGGTCTTCTTATTACCTTTTCATTCCCATCATATATCATAATTGTCACGGCCGCATCAGCTCCAAATAGGATGACATTCTCAACATCAAAACGATGATGGAACCGACCTATTTTTCAATTCAAATTTAAATATAGGAAAAGCAAATCATCGTGGCCTTGACATCGCAGCTTGTTACCAAAATCCAGTGATTCCAGGCAGAGCATTTTATCCTGTGCTTTGATACTTCTAAAAAAGCATCCGTGTCATCTTAAATATCTGTCTAACCTACTCAGAAGCAAAACATGGAAACCACAGCTAGGAAGCAGCTTGCGGCCGCAACATTTGTCAACCATGCTGCCGAGACGAGAGGGGACCAAGGTAGGAACACCTAGGAAGCTGCTTTTTGGAAAAATGCGGGATATGAATCTATGCATTATCGGGATTAAAAGGAAGTAACTGCTTGTTTGCAACTAATATCCCGATGCGACTTTACACCATAATAACAAGAAAAATGAAAACCCGATTTTTTCCACAACTTACAGGCTTGCATATCACTACCGCACACACAAAGTGTATGGTGTATAACAAACTTCAATTATACAGCTTTAAACACATCATATACAAATCCAACACGCCCAACACCAATCTGCGACAGCACATCATTAAAGCGAACTGAGCAATAGCAAACTATTTACAAGAACCATGGAACGAACGAGCACCGACGCGAGCCAAGGTTATAGAGATAAATAATGTCCGTAATAATTTCTGAAACCACTGATTCTCTTCCGCGCCACGTGAATGGCATTTAAAAAATGGAACTATGACGACACACAGGATGACAGGGGGTTTGTGTGGCCAAAGAAGTAGAAAGACTGGTAACGCTTAAAATACAGTGAAAAAGTGCAGTGTGACATATTTTTCAAACAAGAGACATCAGAAAAGAAGACCACGAGGAGACAATAAAAAGTTTATTCAGTCCAGCCCAAGGCCCTATAACAAGGTCCAGCCGTAGTACGGAGCCGCTTTATACGGCCGTCGTCTTTATTAACATAGAACTTTTTCGGAAATGCGATATTCTACCACAAATGTCATCTACCACAAAATGCTCATCTGAGTGGTTGCAAAGTAAGATGCATTTAATCCATCACCTGCAGTGCAGCACAGTTTCTACAAATTCAAGTTGCATTTTTGTCCGAGCAACTGAGCTTGTATGTTGCTAAGCAAAGCATGTCTTCCGCCGGCCAAAACTGCTTTCTCAGATCAAAAACTACTGATGCGAAATGCAGTACCACGTGTACAAGCTAATGTAAAAATATATCCAAACATGTGGAGAGTAGCATTACCATAGATCAAAATAAGAAAACACATTTAGACATGGAGTGCGGTAATTGGCTAGAGTGCGGTTGTCTTGGGATTAGCACATCGCAGCCCGGTTGTTCATGGCAACCTTATCATGACGATTTCTCCGCCAGCTATTCATGAAGAACAACATATAAATACTGCATTTACCAAGAAATGCAGAAACGCATCAAAGACGGGGAAACCTGAAAACCCATTCTCTACTTCAACCTCTCACTTTCGCTGTCAAATGGCTCCATGCAGATGTCAAAACATGATTTTGATGGGACGTCTTTTAATTAGCCAAGCCACTTCCTTTCAACACAAAAAGAGAAAAATGTTCCATTGTACGCCATGGTAAACCCTGTCTCGATCTATTCGAAGTTATCAAACTCGCTGCGCTCGTGCAACAGCTTCAAAAATATCTTGACCACAAATATTTACTTCCCAGCATCTTTCGATAATTTCTTACACTTTTCTAATCGAACACTCTTCTTTCCTTCAACCATTCGACGACGCGGAACCGGGTCGTCTAGCAACCCGGATAAGTCAAAGTGGGAAACCATAAAACTTTTTAGTGTGCGCAACTAGTGTGCAGCTGTTTTGCGTCAATACCACAATTCTTATAAAAGTGAAATATAAAAGATGACAAGAAAAAGGCATTTGAAGGTTTAGCAGGGCAGATACTGGACATCTGTGATGGCTGGAGGCGAACAATGTAGGAAAGGCGATAATTTGATATCATGTTGGGTGGTTCGTACTTAGCTAGTCGATGTCACGGCAAAGTAGCACACTCAGGCAGCTGACACAAAACTGCTGAAAGAACAGTACCAGATGCCCGAACCGTTACGAGGACTTGCTGAAAAACGGGTTTATGAGGTGGAACATCATATTGCCATTCCACTGCGAGTGAGATGTGAAGAAGAATAATATGTGGTGGTGGCTAATTGCAGTACCTATATGCCTGTTTTGAGCAACCACCAGCTACCTTTGGCGCATGTGTCGTTATTCTGCGCACCCAGCTGCTTTTGGGTGCAAATAAATTTGTCATGCTGCCTTAATCATGCTTTCTTTAAGTCTTACATACTGCTATTTCAAAAGCCAAGGACAGCCCATAACTCGGCGTTTTAATGCCACGTACCTATTTATGTAGACACAAGTTTTGGCGAACATGAGGAACCACAGGTCCATATACTTGTCGGCGGGCGTCTGGGCGAACGAGTTGTAGACGAGCATGCTTCTGTACGGCAGCCAGAGCAGTGCAAACAGGGAGACGACGGTGAGCAGCATCTTGATGACCTGTCGACGGGGTCACTGGTCAGACGACAGTAAGGATTATTTTGATGACCTATAGACGGGATTCCTGACCAGACGACGGTGAGGAACATTTTGAAATTTGAGGACGACGTCAACGACGGCGTGGACGGTGTCCACGGAATTCCTGGTCAGACGACGATGGGGAGCGGTCTGAGATGATCTTTGCACGGGGTCTCAGGTCAGATGATGGTGGGAAGCTGTCAAAGATGGCTTGTGGACGGGGTCTCCGGTCAGACGATGGTAAGGATTATTTTGCTGACCTGTGGGTGGGGTTTTGTGTCAGACGCTGCCTGGGTGGGTGGACAGCGCTGCCCTTCTTAAGACTTAAAACTCTGTAACTTCTGAGCTAGACACTTGCAAAGTTTGCAGCCTTTTTCGTGCAGACCAGTTCAAGGTCACTCAGGCAAGCGTGACGCCATACAGACATCAGTCAAATGCTGTCACCCGGTTAGCCATAGCCATTAGCCATTAGCCATGACCGTCAAATTATTCGTGTCTACGAAAGTGACCACCATTTTGGACCCAAAGGGTTTCAAGTAGCTTTCGACCAATGTAATGGATTCAGTGCAAGTTTCAAACAGGAATCCCGTCTGGTGCTGCGTAACGCAGGACGTTGAACGGTGCCACTGGTTAACACAGAATTAAGAGTTGCAATCGAATAACTTATAATGCCGCCATGACTCAGCATTTGAATACAAGTAAGTAATATAAAATCACGGATAAAAGGATAAAAACATCACGACAAAGGGCCAAAGCACATGCACATATTTTGGTTCTGGGAGCACCGTACCCATTGCTACGACATTTCCCGAGAAGCTTAAGTAATACAGATGAGTTAGCCCGTCCACCTGAGTGGCAATTTCGCCCGGCCAGTTTGGCACAGCATCTGACGTCAAAAAAGTTCAACGACGCGATAAAATGATGACGTGTCGAAATACATGTTTACAAAAACACGAAATGTTGTTGGCTAGAGCAATATTGCGCTTAAAGGTAGCCGATTGTTATAAATGAGCTTATTTCATCATCAATGCTGCGTGCCTCAATATCTTCAAATGTGGAACATTCCCTTTAAGCTTTCCTAGACGTGGCAAAACAATTTGTGGTTGGCATTCCCTGACGCCACACTAACTGACAGAAGTTAACGAGACGGCGCACAGCACCATGAGTTCAGAATAGACTTACGAATCCAAAGCCAGTCCATGAGCTTGCAGTAAGCCCGCAGACCAAGGATGCTCAGGACGGCAGGAAAGACCCAAAAAGCGTTCGGAGCCAGCGCTGAGTTTGCGCCTGAGAACGGTGTGTTCTGAATGGAAATGCTTGTTTGTGATCTCACAACTACAATGAATGAAAAAAATCGCCCGTCTCTCCTGTCTGTTATAAGCTCCCGTCTCAAGACCCGGCCAGCCTACTGAGATGAGCTTCCGTCTCGTCTGACATGGTATTTCAAAGCGCAAGGCAACGGCAACCTTTACAGAGCATCAATATGCTGCTTCCATCGAAGTCCGTTTGAATTCGAAAGCCTTCCCATGTAAGATCCGTGAACCAAAGCTGTCAGCAGTGAGGCGTTCAGAGAGCATGAACTCAGTAAAACTTTCACGGCTTTGTATTCCAAGAAATGAAAGCCGAACAATTACTTTGAAGCTGCACACATCAGAGCTCTGAGCGAGTTATTAGAGACGGGACTTCGATTGGCTATAAATATTTACACGTTGCATAATACTCACGTTTTATGCAGGACTCCGGTCGGCAATTTATGTGTTTTCACGTTGCATCGTTTGCTTTGTGTGGGCCTCTGTTTGGTTGGACAACCGGGTTTAACTGCCTAGAATATCAATACCCCTCCACTGCTCTTACATTGCACAACAACATGCGGTAACTGCAAAAATGGAAGAATCATTCTGAGTCGGAAATCCACCTCAAGGGAGCCTTTTTTGTGGCGAACTAAGATCTGAACTTCCATCTGATGTGCAGAGATACAGGATGGTATACGGATAAACCGTGAATATTTCCAAATTTTTCCACATGGTCACATAATATGCAATGTATAAATATGCATATATATATATATATATATATATATATATATATATATATATATGTGTGTGTGTGTGTGTGTGTGTGTGTGTGTGTGTGTCTGTGTGCATCTGTGTATATTTGTCACATATCTGTGTATGAACGTTTGGAAAGTTGGCGGGGCAGTTTTCTTTCTTGCACGACTTCCTAGACGTTCAAAGAGAGCGAAGGATATTTCGGTTTTTACTAAAATTATGGAATAATAGTATTGCAAAATATGACAGGGCAGTTACACACCTCAATGTGTTCCCGGCGTTGCGAACCATTTGGGCCATGCATATCCTGAGAATGACAAATTTCGAAGTTTATTCACATTCTACGACACTAAATAGAGCGTCCTGTAGGCGTGAGGTGTGCGCTCGCTGACACCGTTATACACCGGCTATAGCAGTGGCATGGTGTCTATCATTGTGGTCATCATGATCATTACGATTATCATCATCAGCAATAGGATCCTCGTTCAAATAATGCGGTTCACACAAGGAATGTCAAACGGAGAGCAAACCTTTTGTCGAAATATTGAAGGGAATATAGATTTGAAGATTTTGAGATAACCATGAGAATCTGGTGCTTGCCATATTACCACATCTTGCATGGCGAATTAAAGTCGCTTTGAATTATTGGCATACTTTTATGTGGAAAAACTGCCGTAGACAGCACAATTGCTCCGTTTAGTAAGAATGCTTCTCAATACGTCATTGTTTGATTACGTCATCATACCTTGCACAGCATTGATTGAGAGCCAATTGACGGCTGTTATGTCGAGAAATCGTGCTGACGAACGCGAGATATGAACGGCTCAACAGTTATATTTTCTTGGCCTTGATCCCTGCATGGCTTATGGAATGGCAGAATTTGAATGACGTTATTTCGACTCCATGGATGCCTCGCTTACTCTGAAATCGTCTCCCTGAAATAATCTACACGTCTCCGCGGGCGTGTAGATTAGAAACCAAAAAAGTTTAGGTCTTCAGAAGGTCATGATTGCGAACTGTGCCGAAGGATCTTCAAGATGGCTACTTCAGTTCTAAACCCCATACAAATGTGGAGCACTTCCTCTGACCAAAAATTAACCGATTATTTCGGTCGGACACCCAAACTTGTGACCATTTGGTGGACGCACAATCCTTTTTAAGGTTGCTTAAAAGTCTTGCTAAAACGTCAACCTTGGCAGTTATTGATTTCGTCGCCGAACACCGCCGAGCTTGTCAGGAACATACCCAGCCCAGGTACTGTTATTTGCGATTTACCATGCGCATGCTGCATCTGCGGACCTCCATCACATAAATCTTCACGAAAATGCAATCGATGGTTTTAAACTTCGCGGCTTTCTTACTCACTTATCAAAACATTATTATCGGTTGCCAAAGGTGCCTGGCCTTCAGTTTTGTTTTTGGCATTGACCACACAACAACAAATGCCCACTGTCAGTTGGATGCTATTTTGTTGCTCGTCTCAAGCCAACGCTATACATCATGATTTAGGAAAGATACGAAATTAAAATGAAATGGTCACCTAATTTTGTTCAGTAATGTCTTGAACTTTGGGCTTCGCCTCGAAATAGGCAAGTTACTCGTTTTCTGGCGAACTGATGGGCACCTGTAGAAGTGACAATCATGGCACCGAGAACGGTAAATAACCCGCTCCCAGGGTCTACTTCACCACGGTTCATGCATACTTCTACCGCTTGCTTTAAATGAAGTGCTCCACATTTATGCGGGGTTTTGAACTGCAATGGCTATCTTGAAGACTTGTCGGCGCTGTTCACAGTTCTGCCCGTCTTAAGGCCTAAGTCCCTCTAGCTTCTGAGCTAAACGCCCACGAAAATGAGGAAAGATTTATCGGGAAGAGTATTTCAAAGTCGCCTCCGGCTCATGATGCCATAGTTACGTCATTAAAATCCTGTCATTCTATAAGCCATGCGGCGATTACGGCCAAGAGAAAAATAATTTTCGAGGCGTTCATATCTGGCGTTCGTGGGCGCGATTTCCATATATAAGGGCCGTCAATTGTCTCTCAATCAATGTTGCGCAACGCACGATGACGAAATCAAAACATGAGGCATTAAGGAGCATGCTTACCAAAAGAAGAGTTGTGCTGTCCAGAGCAGTCCTTTCCCCTTACAAATATACCAGTAGTTACACCTGAGCTTGTTTCGTCATACCTGATTCTTGCTTCAACATCTTCAAATGTGAAACATTCCGTTTAGCATGGATATTATTTTAAAAATAATCATACTAATTTTGCTTCTGCTTAAGGCTCTGTTCAGCTCACATCGATGAGCTTTCACAGCGATAAAAAATCCCAACTTCGACATCCAGGGCCGAATGGAGACTAGAGCCACACCTCAACATTTGGAACGTGAGCGGAAACGTACAGTTCAGCTTAACCCTGGTTAATTTTCAGATCGTGTGAGCTGAATGAGACCGCCACGCCGAAGCTCAACTGGGCGCTCTGAGGTACAGCGTGACCTACGTGACAGACCACCCCGTCCAGGCTCACGTGGGCTTCCAGTGGTGCCTCACCTGGGCACGTCCGCTGTTGCCGCTAGACGGCTCCGCACCGCCCGACGAAGCCGAGGAGCCCATCTGCTTCAGGATCTGCGGAGGCCGAAATACGACGACGGCGATCATGGTGTAGAGCACGCTGGATAGGACCAGCGGCACTACGTAGAACAGCACCATGTCGGCGAAGAAGTACCCCAGATAGGCCTGCCGTGACAGCTTGAACGTGCATTCCTGCACGTCGCTGATGCCGATGTAGTGCACGGGCACCACCGTTGTGAGGAATACCCAGGGGATGCAGTAGCAAAAGGCGAACGCCCAGACTGCGAAGATGATGCGCTTGGCGCGCTGCACCGTGCAGATGGTGCGCGCCTTGAGTGGCCGGCAGATGGCAATGTAGCGCTCCACGGTGAACGCTGTTACGCTCAGAGCCGACGCGTTGATGCCCATGTTCTGCAGGAAGATGAGAATGGCGCAGCCAGCGTTGCCCCAGATCCAGGCCTGCGCCACCAGGAAGTACATGAAGATCTCGTTGGGCACGGCGGCAATCAGCACGATGATGTCAGCCACTGCCAGGCTGACCAGGTAGCAGTTGGTGGGCGTGTGCATGCTGCGAGACCGCCGCACCACCACCACCACCATCACGTTCCCGAGGAAGCCGACCACGAACACGGCGCCCTGGAACAGCGCGCCAACGCTGCGATACGGGTACGAGTAGTAAAGCGGGAAGCTGAAGTTCATCTCCATGAACTCGCCGTACAGCTTCGTGCAGTTGTACACGCGCATCATGGTCTCCCGACTGCGCATCATCTGGCCGGTAAGGTTACCCTCGAGGCGCACGCCACTGTCGTCCAGGCACGAGCAGAAGAACGCCTCGCCGATCGCGGACGTGTTCTCGGTGCACTGCGCCGGCAGCAAGGACGCGATGTCCTCGCCGCGGACAGTCGGCAGCAGCAGCGGCGGCAGCAGCAGCAGTAGCAGCAGCAAAAGCGGCTTTGGCAGCGGCCGGGCCACGACGGGTCGCTCCATGGGTCGTCACGAGCTGGACGCCCCGCGCGGTCGCCTGAAACAGCGTCGGTCGTTAATGTAACGCTGGTCGTTCACGGTCATCTCACCACAACTGTGCCGATGCGCCCAGCTGCAGCCGCACCGTTCGGGTTGGTCGCCAAGGCACGGGCGACAGTCGCTGTCACCAGATCGCGCCCGTCGCACAGGCTGCTCCGCGACGCGTGTTCTGCTGCAGTGTCCCGCGGCGCGAGGTTCGCTGTGGTGTCCCGCGGCGCGTGTTCCGCTGTGGTGTCCCGCAGCGCGCAGTCCGCTATGGTGCCCGCGGCACGTGTTCCGCTGCAGCGTTCCGCGGAAAGTATTCTCCTGAAGTGTCCCGCGGCCCGTGGTCCGCTTGGTTCCTGCTCAGGCTCGGATGGGACTGGCGGACGGGAACGCGTACACGTGCCAGCATGCGCGCCGGCTGGACAGACATGTCGAAGCGATGTTAGCCGCACCAACGAAACGATACCGCGGAGGGGCCGGGGTCGCCTTTAATCCATGAATCACGTGCAACGCACCCATCCACCCACGCACGTCGTGTGCCTAACTGAGGTACAGAACGCTAGGGAACGATGGCGCACCCGCTTCCCCACGCTCGGATAATTCACTATAAAGCAATCGATTGACTCATCATCACAAAACCTTTCTGGCTTATAACGTTGATATGAGCCGAACCGTTATTGCCAATGAAGTTCCGATTCCCCGGAGTATCCGCCCTTTCTGCCGGGGTGAGAGGCAGACGACACCACTTGGCCTCAGCAGCTGAGTGCGTCACCAAGACCCAGTGCAATAAAACGCGAGCGACCGTGATATCAGCTTGCATTTCAGGAAATAAATAGTACTAAATGCATAGTATAGTGTAACGGAAAATACAATATATTACTGCAATAGCGGAAGTTGATATGCTGGGGATCCTGGAGGAGGGAGGAATATCCCCCATTAAATTCAAAAGAAGCTGAAAATGCACCCAAACATGGTCACGAGCATTAAACGGCTGGATGGCGGAATGGAATGAAAAGAAAAGTCAACGTAACATGGGTGAAAATCTATGTCAAAATGATAAAACTACAACGGGGGTCACGCGAACAATATGGGATGGTACGAGATCGACCCGGCATGCTATTCCGTAGCTATGAGGACGGCCGGAGGCAGCTGGTAAGAGACGGTATGGCAACTGTGCCGGTCCGCCTCGGGGCGCCATAGGCATATTTCGCCGTGCCGGTCGTCTTCAGCCTGTCCACGAATAACGTTCGCTGTCACTTATTGGGCTGTCGAGCGATGGCGTGCGCTGATAACACCCAGCTGCTCGATCACTCGCTGTCCGACCTTCACTGTCACCTGCTGGGCTGTCGAGTGATAGCGCGCGCTGACGACACCCAACTGCTTGATCATTCGCGGCCTAGCCTTCAAAATCTAGGATCACTCAAAGTCGTGTTCAAAACTATTTGGGCTCATTACAACGCTGGCTCAGGTCAAATTCATCAAACAGGAACCCAGCGGAAACACCTTTCCTTTTAATCGGAGCCCGTAAAACCGTCAGCAAAACCCTTAAACCCTTAACCTAAATAAAGCTCGGTCGGTTGGCCCGACTCTCTTCACCTACACGACCGCTGGGTTTGACCATCGATTCATGGATGTCCGGGCACATTCCTGAGACACCGGCCATATCGTCCAAAAGAAGGACGCCCTTCTGGTATCCCTTTATCGGTTCCGCCACCACCACTTAAACCATAAAACGTTAAAGTTGCTGATCAAGCGCACGAATTGTCCCACATTTGACCAGGTTTCAATGTGGGGAGGAACAACAAAGATCAACTAACTCTGATAAAAAAATTATAAACTTCGGAGCACGGGTCGTGACTGGCGTGCAGCGTCGGGGGGGGGGGGGGGGCGGTCCGGCGTTGGCATCCCTGGGTGGTGCCAAGGTGGAGCAGCTGGTGCGAGAGAGGGACCCTCTATAAGTTTACAAAGCCCTTCACAACCACCTCAGCCCGTTTCCGACCGCCGCATGTTAACCCCCCGATCAGCGGTGTCTCCCCGGGCCGCCCACTCATCCTATTCCGGAACTCTTCAGCTACCGAGATGCAAACTCTTGGCCACTCAGAGGGGGTTTCGGTATCGACCTGTGGCCTGGTGGAACCAGCTGCATCTGGCCGTCACTGAGCGTCCGGCACTGTCCGCGTTCCGTGCGTCGCTGATGGCGCTGAAGACCTGAGAGCCACTCGTATTGTGCTGTTTGGATCGACTACGCAAGAATGCTAAACTGGCTTACGGCTTTTTCATGCATTTGGTGTATGCAGCTATTTGTTGTTCCTACGACTTTCGTCGCTATCTTATCCCGGTGCATGTCTGCACTGCTTTGTGACTTTTTATTTCTTTCCTTGTACACGACGCCAATAAAAAATCGTGTATTGCATACATGTAATATAGTTTCAGTACAACATAATACGTGTACCTCTGATCCCTAAATACGCCCCTGGAGTGTGGTTTACAGTACTGACGCCTGGGCTCGCGGGTGACGTCTTGCGCCGGCATAACTCGGGCCTCAGCCGGATGCTGATCTTGGCCTCATCGAACGTTTAACTCGGGCCCCAACGGACGCTGATCTTAGGCCTCACCGGACACTAATCTAAGGCCCCACCGCACGCTGAGTTCGGGCCCCACCGCACGCTGATCTCGGGTCCCACCGGGCGCTGATCTCGGGACCCAGCGGTAACTGATCTCGGGACCCAGCGGTAGCTGATCTACGGCCCCAGCGGACGCTGATCTTGGGTCCACCGGACGCCTAACTCGGACACCACTGGATGCTCAACCCGGGCCCACCGGACACTCAACTCGGGCCCCACCGGACTCTGAAGCGTGCTGTCGATGTTCGGCGGTACAGCCTACCACGACGGACAAAACTGCACTCGCGACCACCGTCGTTATGATAACCACCGTCCGTACCTCCGTAGGTATGAATAAAAGAACGTTTGTGATTGTCCCACCGGGCAAGGACCCGGTGAAGAGAACCTCACCGGTTGATGTCTGAACCAGTGCATCACATGGATCATGAGATTATTTGTTCTCAAACGCCAAGAGAGAAGTCAAAGCCAAAGCATAATGTTTCGTTGGAGCCATAACAGCTTCACGCTCGCACATATTTTTGGCTAGATTGTTTCAAGTTTTCGCAACATTATTACACAAACATTTTGACACACTAGTGGGTTGCAAACATTACAGAACACAAACATTGGAAAAAGCAAGGCAAATGAAATGCATCACCGTCATACCGCTGAGCAGGGTGTCACACGAGATTTCTCCCGCAGGATCGGCTTCTTCAAATCAAAATTCTGCGGTATTCAGAATAATTTCTATAAAAATGATATTGCTTATCAAATTGTACGCGTCTGAAGTTACAATAAGAGGGAAGTACAAAAAGGTGAGATGCCCCATTTCGCGCAGGCATGCTCTACGTCAGACCCTACCATAGATATACAGGATGATATTGGCCCACATCTGTCCGCCAGTATGTCAAAGCCGCCCCCCCCCCCCCCATCTTAAGATAATCATCGAGATGTCAGTGCAGGTTGCCTGGGTTGATTGGAGTGGGTGAATATTTGATTTTGGTGGCAAATGCTTCGTTTTTGGGGGCCATTGTTGCTGATACTGCGAGGAAGCATGGTCTCTGCAAGCCAAATATACACCCAAATCGGTCTTGGATGCGCGCTTTGTCGTGTTATTGCAGTGGTGATTGTGGTGGCATTACCCTGTAAAGCTCCATATCGGTCCGCATGGCTCCCTTTAATGGAAACATTTGTCATAGTTGGGGTCAGGACTCCCCGTTTTCTTTCACTATTTTTGGTGAGCTCCTTTAACTTCTCAACTGAGCTGTCTGGCTTATTGCACTTGGCTTCACCAGCTGACAGGCTTTTCATTGGTGGGCATCAGAGATGAGGATTTCGACTTGGACAAAGGGGATTTATGCCTGGGATCAAGGGTATCGCACCTGTTGATTCTTCGGCAATCTCTCCGAAATGAGACGGAGTTTCAGATCCTGAAATAAATATAACTCAGCTGTTTCACTCAGTGTTAGTTTACAAAAAAAGGTGTAGGTATACATGTTCGCACACTGGGAAATTCTTGTGATGATCCTTATTTTATGATTACGCGCAGCATCTGTAAATGAAATTGACATAAGCCCTCCTGACGAAAGCCATGACAAAAGCATATAAAATAAGTGATGAGCAGGCTTTCAGGTTTCTTACAGCTTCTCGTTTCCGCATTAATACATTTCCGCATCAATAACAATATTTCCGCAATAATTCTACAAAACGGGCCGCAAGCACATTAGTTGTGATTTGTTCATTACTTAACTAACCACCAGCTGGACATGGTAGAGGAAACGCCTGCGAACACAACTGGACCTCAGTGGAAGCTCTAGCAAGAAAACATACTACGTCAAACATTTCTACGAGACGGGTTCGTTCAAGAAAACCCGATACTTTCATGCATCGGCTCGAATGTGAGAACGCCGTTTCCAAGAGCAAAATTCAGACCTGGGTGGGACACTTACAGAAATGTGGGACGGTGGAGAACCTCAATGCAGCCGGTGAAAACCATCCAAGCCACTCAGGACACCGCAGGAATCGTGCAGCCGAGTTAGTGATGAGCGTGATGGAGTCAGTTTAGCGGAGTCCGAGACGCTCTGCGCGCAAGCAAGGTCACTCCTTCGGCAGCCCCCAGATTTTTTCCTTTGGCGCCATCTAGAAGATTTACGCAGGAAGCCTCAGGACCATCACGGAACTCAGGAGATCAGGATGCGTAAAAGCCATTCTTCGGTCGGTTTGTAAGAAAGTCATGAACAACTTAGTGATGCGCCTCAAGATATGCACGGAGCTAAGTGGAAGTCATCTCGAACACATGCCCTAGAATGACGAAGAAAAGACCAAAGACTCTCATTTTTAGCTCTGATGTTTTAAATAAAACAAACTAGTAATTACCGAAGTTTTATTTAGTTATGACAGAAAACTGAGT